ACAAGCTTCTGAAAAATTCAGTGTTGTACAGCAGTGCATTCAAACACTGATCTTTCTATAGTGTTATAGAGCTATTCAGGATGCACACAAGGCAATATGTAGCTGAGTCTTATTCATATTTAATAGATTTTTAACTGGTGTATTCCTTCAAACTATTTTCTTTCACTAGCTCAGCAAGAGGAATAATGCTCTGTATTTTGATTCAAAAATAGGGCAATTATTATTGAAAGTGAATGTCTCTGAGGGAAAAGGCATCTCTCTAACATGCTGAAAATCAGAGAAAATGTCTATTACTTGAAGAGGAATCATGAGGCAGATGATAGCACTTATTTTGTTAGAAAAATAAAAAAGTTTTTAGGGATCTTCATGGGATTGAGAGCTCAGGAAAGATGTGGGTCAGAAAGACAGACACTGGAAAGATTTTTTCCCTTTGAGAGTTATAAAGGCAGTAAGAAGCATTTTATTAGAATCAAGAAAAGTGTCAGATATAAAATATGTTTCAAGACAGTTAAAAAAATAAAATTTAAATTACCAAACCATTAAGGACATGAATGTTTTACTGCAACGGAGTTATAAACATCAAGGAAAGAAATCTCAAAGCAGAGTAATATGCAAGTCCTATTAATAACTTCTGTGCTCTACACTCGCTTTCTGTAGCATTCTTCTAAAGAGTATTGCAGTGCTTTGCTTGAACAGCAAGGGCTTTATTGTTAACCTTGAGTCTTCAGTACTGAATTAAAATTAAGATACTTGTAGCACAAAGGGGCTGTAAATCTTTTGCATGAATGTTTAATGGCAGGATTGGGCTCTGGAAACTGCAGCTTTGCTGCAGTGCAGTGAATGGTATGCAGCAATATAAGAAAACTTCAGCATGTCTAATGTTCTAACACTAAAAGGGGGGGTGCAGCAGTTCTAGCAGATTTTAATGAACCCAAATGACATTCTAGCGAGGGAGATTTTGCAGTCTTAACAAAAACCTGGAGCATGAATTGAGTGAAAAAAAATCAAATGCCTCAGGTCACTTTACAAGACAAAAAGAAACCTTTTGTTTCACTGCATGCTAGACAAACAGGTACTTTTGCATGCAGAAATCCCGCTGTAAAGCAACAACAGAAAACGAAGAGCAGAATGTTTAGATGTGTTTGGCAACTAGAAATTATCAGTACTGGGATGGACAAGCTTCAGAGTGAAAGCTTGCTTTATGGACAAAGAATGTGGTATGCTGGCTGTAGTGCAAGTTCTGAAAGATTATTTTGCCATTATTCTGCCTTTGTGATTAAGAATGGAAAACAGAACTACTGATCCTTAGCAAGTACCTGATTTAATTATTATGGAGTTGTGACATCTTCACTGTATCAATACTACTTACAGTTTCTTTATATTTTATATTTTTTTGCACATACACATGCATACATACATACATTTTTATATATTTTTATACTATTTTTGTCCCCTGTAGAGTCATATTTAGGTGATTATATAAGGCTGAGAGAAACTTCTCACAGCCTGACTGCCATCATTACTTATATTTATAAGCAGCTACAAGGTATTGCTAGTTGAAAGCTAATTTCAGCAGGCTATACATACCATCATCAAGTCCTCTGGCTATGAACCCATGATCACTGTATACCTGGAGACACCCAAAATGGTTTGAGAGGGCCATTAATCATTTCTGATGCTTCCACATTGCTTATTGGCACAGCAAATAGATATGGGACAGGAATGGAGGATATATCCTGTTAAAAAAATGCCCCTTTACAAGGGGCATCTTGAAAGATGTGCAATTATAAAACACCTATGTCTGTAAAATTTCCACTGTTACAAGGAAAACAAAAGAGCAAGGCAAGACATATTATCTCTTTTTTTTTATATATATTCCTTTGGTTTATATGAACAATAATTAATTGTTCTGGATAGTTCAAGAGGATACTAGGAAGTAAAGAATATTTGAGATCACATTTACTCTGTGTCTCTGAAAGATTGTAGCACCTCAAACCAAGAGGCACAGGGGACTTCCCTGGGATAGTAACTCTTTTCCTCTCTACCCTCTCAAGAGCAATTTGGAATCCATGTGCATGCTCAGGTCCTCTAACTCTCAAAAAGATTGATATAGTTTAGAGCTTTTTTTAATTATCATTTTATTTATCATTCCCTCTTTATTGTGATATCACTTGACTTTCTTTGTTTTCATACCCATGGCAACATGTACAAAAAAATCTGTTAGCAAGGTGACTGCAGATCATTAATTTATTTTAATGTCTCTAAGATTCTTCCAGTCTTGATGACTCTCACACAGAGGCCGTATTCAGGGACTTACTGAATAAATACTGCTCAGATAGTGTATTTTTCTTGATGGACTGTGCTGAGGTTTTAACTGACACGCACCGCCCGCTGCTAAAAACACTGTTTAATGGGCCAACTGCCAAGGCTGGATTTGAAGGGCAGGTCAATGCCCTAAAATCACTAGGTGTCAAGACATGGTACAAAGCACAGTGCTTTTATTGTGTTTTACTTTGAAGTCAGCTACTGAAGCTAGCAAATAAGAGGTGACAAATAAAGTGACTGTTTGATGTCAGATGGATCGTGTTTGAAATGAATACTTAGACGCTGCATTTGCCAATATCCCATTTCTTACCTTGCTAAGACTATGATTTTTGCATTCACAATAATGTTATCCTTTTCAAAAGTATATGTTTCTGAAAACATGCCTCAGTAATAGGGAAGTAATTTGATATAGAGTAGATGTGAGAAACCCCATTTGCAATATAAAAATGACACGAATATATGGCTTTTGATTCTGCTGTTTGCAAAATTATATGTGAGAGCTTCATTAGGAGGTGTGCTGAAAGCTGCCTACTGCTGCCAGTAGTATAATCCTAGCTATAATGGTAATTTTATATGTTCAAATATTCTCTTAGTTAGGGCTGTGTTACATCATTCACAGATACCTCTGTGCAGGGGGAGTGAGCAACACAAGGTGTTACATGCCAACTCTTGTCAAATATTCTTCCACTTATACTTGTAGAAAGAAGGATTTGAATTCCCACATAATAGATATGAAGCCATGCTCTCTGTAGAGGCATCTGTTGGGGTTCTGATATTTACCCTCTTGAGCAGCTACCCTCATTCATCCAGCTATTTGTGTTGTAAGGGAATGATATAGTCTGAAAGGGCATATATTTGTTTTCTTTGTAATTCAGAGAAATCCTTCTGTTTCCGAAGTGAATAGCCAACTGCTAATAGCTAATTAGCAGATAGCTAATTAGATGCATATATATATGTATATGCTTTATATGCAGTTTGGCTTTCTAGGGGAAGACTCAGTGTAACTTACAATGATTAAAAGGTATTTTCAAATCAATTCTCTTTGACCTCTGTTATGACACATGCTTTTCATCTGAAGACATATGGTGTCTTGGAGACAGACTTGATGTGATGTACTTGCTGACTGACCGTAACTGTTAAGACATGTTGTTCTCCAATGAAGTCAAAGAATGACATAAAGAATGAAATGCCAGAAAGCACTAATGTAACAATTCTAATGTTCTGAGTAGTAGTTAATGCTGTCGTGACAGTACGTAAGAGATAAATGTCATTTCAGTATGTTATATGGAACTCAGGTTAAGAAAAACTTCCTAAGTTTTCTGTCATTCTTCTGGAGCTGATACAACCTGATATAAAATACATAGTTCTCTCATTTGCCCTATAGATGAGCTACTAATTCACCTTGTGAATAGGAAGGTTTGTTGTTCTTCAGTCCATGTACATTGCAGACACATTTACTTTACAGCACTTGAGAAAATGCTTTGAATGTACATTTGTAGCTCATGAGGTGTGAATTAAACGACAATAAACTGCAGCACGTTAAACTGAGAAAAATCAGTGAAGAATGAAAATGAAAAAAAGACGGCGGTGGGGGAGATAAATGAAATCAGGTCATTTTTCACCTTAGTAAGAAAACACCTTAGAAAACACCATTCACATTTATTGAAGGCAAATTCACTACATAAATTTCATGGTGGGGGCATTGCTTGTTGGAGATAGATACTATTTAAATTAAATTTTCTAAGTCATAAGAATAAATATATAGAGGACAAAATGAACAAACATAGCTGAGAATTTTGTTTAAGCAATTGAATGAAGAAAAATATGCCCCTATCAGCTGATGGGATTGGGAAATAAATCATCTTGTTCCTGTAGGAGCCATTAAAGGGGAAGTACGGAACTGAAACTATATTATATTTTTATATTATTATTTACTGTGGCATTTTAAAGGATGCTCTTTTGCTCTGTAATTACATTCTTGAGCCTCAAGAATGGCCAAAATCTTAAAGGTGATGTGAGGGACTAAAAACAGAAACAGGAAAGTAATAGTTCAAGTGGAAGATCAAGATTATTGGTAAACAGCTAATTGGATAGAAGAAATCTTATGTTCTATGTTTAATAGAAATATATTTATAGTAGACTAAACTGTACTACCTCCCATGAATAAGGCATAACACTTTGTAAGCCTAGTTTCATACTTTTGTAAACTTTCACCATGAGCATGAAGGCAGACTAAGGAAGGTAAAAAATGTTTATTTATTGTTTACCAGAAATGATTAGTTCTGGTAAATAATAATTAGTCTGCAAAACCAACATCCATGAACTATTAGATCCTCTGTCTAAGAGAGGACTTCAAGATTCCATTGTCTTGCAAAAAAATACCTTCAGCTACTCATTCTTCAAAGTCAGAGAGCTAATGTTCAGGCCATTTATTCAGTTATTAACTGAATACATCAACTCTACAGTCCTTTCAACTATACAGTTCTCCTGTCGTCAGCAAAACACTGATGTTGGGCTGACTGATTTGGTTTCCTGCACCTTCCTTCACTGAGCAACTTCATACCCAGGCACAGCCATGTAAAAACACTCTGAAACACAAGACCATCCTTATATAATTTTCTCCCTTGCATTTGCAGAAGGTGGTAAAATTATTGGGTACTCTAGTAGATACTATAAAAGAGAGGAGATACAGTCCTAGAATGACAGACAGGGAAAGGAAAAAAAGAGGTTGATTTTTTTTGTTTTGTAGTCTATTTGTAGATAAGGGAATGTTATTTCCCAAATCACATGGTTGCTAAAATCATGGTTTCCTCTCCTTTGTTTAGGGACATGAAAAAAGGTGAAGTGGTAAGTCTAAGCACTAAGCACTAAGCACTTTGAATTTTGTCAAAGAAAAATCTTCTATGGGACTAGAATTTCTCTCTTCCTCATATATCCTCATGTATCTCCATCTATAGAAGGGAGAAGGGAGGAGCCAGCCATCAGGACACAGAACTCATTAAACTGAGTGTTCACCTTCTTCACCTCCCTTGTTTTTTATGGAGAAAAAAAATTATGTCCATAGGCTACTTTAATTTGTCTTCTACAGGACTCTTCCTAGAGTCATTAGACTTCCAAAGTAGAATTGCAGGTGCTTAAGTAAGTCATGAGTAGAATATACAAAAGGCATTTTATGCTGTAACACTTCCAGGATTTTGAGTTTCTGAAAATAAAAATGATTTGTAGTTCAACAACCAACTTGATTTTTTCTTTGTTCTAGAATTTGTGTGTTGAGTCCAAAATTACTACACTATATGTACTGTACTGGACCAATATCACCTCTGTATTTAACAATTCTTCCTGGATGTTCTTTGAGAACAAAAGAAATACTTCTTTTTTTCTTGAATGCATGTTAGAATCCCTCAAAGCAGCAGCATATTGAATTTTGCTGCTGTGCTTTTTGGAATTGTATATTACTCCCCAACGTCAGCCAGTAAGAAAAATTACTATGAAATTAATATTTGTTCTGAATGTACACAATTTGACTGATTATAAAATAAAATAAATAAAATACAATGCAATAAAATACAATCAATTAAAATAAAAGCCACAGTTTTGGAATACCCAGTTCAGACCTTCTTCAAATGGGAAATGCTCAATATAGTATAATAGGAAAAAAAAAAAAAGATAAATAAATCACAATATCAAAATAGAAAGATAAGTCTTTCACTCAATAATATTAAAATATATATTCCTTCAGGAAAACATGTGAATGCAGGAATCATTAAATTATTAAAGCCAAATTATCATACTGGCCTATGAATTAAGAGTACCTCTTTATGAAAGGCAAAGAAATATTGAACTAGGTAATCATGAGTATTTGGAAACAAAAACAGAAAACAGAACAAAACAAAACCTAAAATGCTTTAAAATCTGTAGGAGGGAGTGCTAAAATTTCCCTAACAATATATTAGGAAAAAAATTACTATTATTTTCACAAGAATTAGACTACTGCAAATGGGAATGGAAAAGCAAATCAAATGTTCTCAGAGTAATGTACTGAAAATGAATTATAAGAATTATATACTTTCAGTATAATGCATTGTAGAATTCAAAACATAGTCTTTGCTATAAGAGAAGATACAAACTCTTAAACAACAGAATATTGAGCTATTGCACTTATTTTTATGTCTGTATATTTTTTCATGCCTAGAGAAAGCAATATTTTCTAAAGTCTTATATAGATTATAAGGCTAGATACATCCTAGCTACATTTAAATACTTTTCCTGCCATTGGCTTGCTTTATTTTGTGTCTATAAGAGAAAAAGGAAAAAATATATAGTTTGAATTAATATTTACTAATTTTAAAATTATCTAACCACTTCTGTAATGTACTAATCTTATCTCTACTACTACTTTACTATTATAAAACTTGATCATCTCATTTATTTTATTTCTCATTCTTAGATAACACAGACTTAAACCTCACTGAATATAATTATTTAGTACCATCGAAGGCAGTGAGTTTTGAAATAACAATCCTTCAATGCAAGCCAGAGAAAGATTTGCAACATAGAAATGGTTCAAAAGCATCCCTCTCAGATAGAGAGCCAAACGAAGGACTGCTAATAGATAAATCAAGAAACAGAAATGGTTCCCAGTTAGTTACTTGTATTAGTTTTGCTACTTCATGTCTAATTTTTTATGTAATATGTATATATGAAGTCCTCAAGTGGTATGAATTCTCATGGTCATATGAATTCCTGACATTGCCATAGAGATTGATGTCCATATTAGATGTCCTTGTTTACTACTCACAGCAACAGTACCTGAAATAAGAAAGGTAATGTCAAATCGTGAGAAGAGATGAACCTACGCCTTTATGATTCAACACCTAGACTTCTGGGCAAGTACGATGGGAAGTACCTTTCAAAGATTGTTTCAGAGAATGAGACTCAAGGGCAATCACAAAAATCTGGATGAGCTTTTAAAAGCTGAAACACATTTTTTTTTTCCTTGAAAGAAATATCATATTGTGATTTATTGTACAGTAAGTAATTATTCATTGTTTATATATTAACTTTCAATGTAAAGTTCAGGATTCTTTTTTACTTCTGTTTCTAGATATATATATTCTGTTTCTAATTATAGTATAAAGTGTAATTATAGTATAAGTATAGTATAAAGTGTTAACACATTTTTTAAATGTGATGATAATATTGCTTGTTTTTATTTTTGTAGAGATCCAAACCAGCCTGTTCCACAGGATACAAAATTCATCCACACAAAACCCAACCGCTTTGAAGAAGTGGCCTGGTCCAAATACAATCCTAAAGACCAGCTTTATCTGCATATTGGCCTGAAACCCCGAGTTCGCGATCACTACCGAGCAACAAAAGTCGCTTTCTGGTTGGAACTTGTACCACACCTTCACAACCTAAATGAAATATTTCAGTATGTTTCTACAACAACAAAAGTACCCCCTCCTGACATGACATCATTTCCTTATGTTACTCGACGTTCTCCTGGTAAATTGTGGCCAGCCACCAAACGGCCAGCAATGACACCAGCAAACAACCCCAAGCATTCAAAGGACACCCATAAAACAGCTCCAGAGGATACCACAGTCCTGATAGAAAACAAGCGAGATTACTCAACGGAGCTGAGCGTCACCATTGCTGTGGGGGCCTCCTTGCTGTTTCTCAACATTTTAGCTTTCGCTGCATTGTACTACAAGAAAGACAAGCGGCGTCACGAGACTCACCGGCGCCCAAGCCCCCAGAGGAACACAACCAACGATATTACGCACATACAGAATGAAGAGATTATGTCCTTGCAGATGAAACAGCTGGAACACGACCACGAGTGTGAATCGCTGCAGGCTCATGACACGCTGAGACTCACCTGCCCACCCGACTACACACTGACGTTGAGAAGGTCCCCAGATGACATCCCGCTCATGACGCCCAACACCATAACCATGATTCCAAATACATTAACAGGCATGCAGCCTTTGCATACTTTCAACACCTTCAGTGGAGGACAAAACAGTACGAATTTGCCCCATGGACATTCCACCACTAGGGTATAGCTCGACCCTTCTCCCTTGTACTCTCACAAGCCACTTGGAAGAAAGAAAAAAAAAAAGAAGAAAAAAAAAAAGAAGAGGATAAAGAATAATACCACCCATAGAACACCTTGTGAAAATATAAAGTAAAAAGAGAAGGACAGTCATTATTTTCTTACTGATCCTTCCCATAGAAACACTCTGATGTTAAAGATCAACCACGAACCCTGTGAAATGTGAAACGTGTACATTGCTGTTGCGATACTGCTTTAAGATCTCCACCACTTTGATTGAAAGTTGAGGCCAGAAGAAGTCATTTAGAATGGTATTTTGAGTGTAACAAGCAAAGCAGAATCTCCTGGAACACAGAGCCAGTGACTGTCCTTTTTTTTTTTTTTTTTTTTTAATAAATGAAATAAAAAAATAAGTTCTCTATGTGCCATATCATGAATGGCCCTTGTTAAAACAAAGACATCGCCATGGGCTTTTACCCAGCAATTGAAGCTGTAATCCAGAAGGGGGAAATAGGATTTTATTATTAAAAACAAAAAAGAAAAAAAAAAAAAAAAGAGGAAGACTGACTATGCAGTAAAATACGTATAGTTCTGTGCAAAGAGATGACTTGCCAGCCTGAACTATATTTAAAGAAACTTTGTAAAAATGTACATATCTGTGAGTTTAAAAACAAAAAAGAAGAAGCTTTTATTGATGTTTTCAGTTTGAAAAGAGCTTTTAGAAAGATTGTGCATTCAGTTGTGACCTATGTGTATATACATTAGTCATATCACCTCTGTTTCCTCCAGGCCCAGAGGAGGATTTTCTTCTTAATTAGTAGAGGTAAACAAAGACATGCAGTTTTCTAACATGTTTCATTTACACCAGGCCATGGCATCATGCAGAGGATACAATTGTCTGTGTGACCTGCATATTTCTCTTACAGGTTACACTAGTGCATGTTAAAGCATACATAGAAGATTGTTGTTCTTTTCTGATTTTTTTTCCTATAATTTAATTTGTGTTAGCCTTCATGAAATTGCAACACAGCAATGGATCAGAAAATGGAAAAAAAAAATACAATTACTATTTTAAGCTTGTTGAATAGAACCAAGAAACGTCCAATAATATGTATTCAAAGAGTCCAGTTTGTAGTTCTTGATTATTGCGATACATTAGGAAGAGTTTTGTGCCCTGACAAATGCAAAGAAAGCCTGCTTTTTGGTCAGCCTTTTCCAAGGAAAAATAGCTCTATATTCACCAGCAGTTGCAGAAAAATCTGCGCTGAGAAAGCTCCTTCTCAGCTTTACGAAGCAAGGGGAAAAAGTGCAGTATGAAGGTGGGGGAATGGGGAGTTGCTGGGTTGTCTATTTTTTAATGTGTTTAGAAGTGAGCAGTGTGTAAAGAACTGCTCTGCCCAGTATCTTGGTTTTCTGTTTGAGAGCATACCTGTCAGAAAATACTGTTTTTACTGATCACAACAGTCCCATTGTCAGTGAACATAAGGAGAGAGAAGCAGAGAGGCCATTGGATGTTCTATGTCTGAACATAACTACAGATTCCACAGAGCATCACCATCCCGATTGGCATACTTTGTAGCTGATTATTTCCTTCTGCCCTTCCTTAACTGGAAAACTGAGGGCCAAGCAGAGCTATCCGATGACAGCAGCAGCAACAACAACAACAAAACAGTTTCATTTAAACAGCTGATTTGAATGTGAAAAGCTAGAAATAGGTTCTCACAAATGAAGGTTGCTTTATATTTTGTCTTAGACGTCATCAAGAAAGAGTAACCAAAGATATTTGAACAAAATTGATCTGCACTTGAACATGATTATCCCAGATGTATTTTATATTAATTCACAACTAAGCTGCATCAAATATCATGTCCCATACAGAATCTAACACAAGATGCCTTGTACCTCATTTTTGATTTCTAGTCTTCTTCTTCCTTTTTTTTTGGTAAAAAGCTTTGAAATATTCATCCTGAAATATAAAATCGTAGACAAGGTGATTCATTGAGGTCTCTGTTAATCTGCACAACTCCCATGTTGTAGCAGGCAGTAAAACATATACTGAAGGAAAGAAATAAAAAGCAAGTTAATGACATGATAAAAATACAACAAGTGGCTGATATAATTCTTTATATGTGATAAATGTACTATACCCCTGACCTGGATGGCCAGGTTGAAATTTGAAGAAGCAACAAGCCCAAAGTACAAGTAGTAGCAAATAGAAAACTGTCTTTTTCACCGATCCATCACATCATGTTGATTAATGCTGACTCTATACCAGACCATTTCTACCACCTATGTAATGCCTCAGCTGAGATGCAGCAGTTCATGACTCTTAAAAAAATGAGGAAAAAAGAATAAAAAAAAAGGAAAAAAAGAAAAAAAGAAAAAAAAGGCAGTGATGCTTGACATCATAATCAGTTGGGTATGTTTGTAATGTGAACTACAGTATTTGTTTAGTACTTCCAATTGTCTTCTGCTAGCAATATGTACAGTACTGTGTCAGGCTTGTGACATTTGGGTAAAAAAAAAAAAAGAGAAATCCTGTAAGTGAATGATTTTAGCTTTTAAAAGTAATTACAATCAAGTTGATTTAATAATTTAATACATCCCGACCGATGTATGATTTATAAAAGGAACAGGTTTATAGAGTCTTCATGGAATTCTATAATACTGATATCAAAATACACTTTGCAAACTGTAAAAGAAAAAGTACCTTCCCAGGCTTACATTCTTGATCTTAAGAGGCACGCAGGGTTTAATGGTTACTTTTATTATTGTTTTGCAATTTTTTGTTTTTTGCCTTAAGTAATGATAGAAGATATATATGGCTGGACACATATGTATAAACTTTTCAGCAGCATTTTTAATAATAAAATATCACAGTATTTTCTAATGCTTTGTGCAAAGAACTACGTGTTCATCCTTTTTTGTTAAAAGTCTTTCAGAGGTGTGTTTTCTCCCCCATTCCCATTTCATTATAAACAATGCCTTGACACACCATATTAAAATGTTAGAGTAACAGAGGTTCCACTTTTAAGTTGTTGGGTTATCATGGCTTTTGTAGTTCTGTAAGCCTGCCAGTAAAAGGAAAGAAGCTCAGACAATGAAAATATAAGAGAATAAGCTCCATATATTTATTATCTGTATGCACTGCAACTTCCATTGAACTAACGATTTAATTGTTCTGTTAGTATTTTCTATAGCATTGAAAGAAAGCTTAGGTAAGCAGCTTCCCATGTTTGTGTATTGCTTAGCAGCTGAAAAAATGTACCTTCCAAATTTATGATCAGAATAATTCAGATAGGTATAGTACATTCATCCTCCATAGGTAACTATACTTTCATTTTATATTTAAACTTTAGATAAATAAAGAGTTTTGTTAGAAAAAAATACGTAAGAGTAGCAATATATGTTTGTTACTCATATATATTTAAGGGATCTCATATTTTGCAGGTATGTGAATGTCATTCTTCTCCAAGCTGAGTAAGCAATTGCAGTTTCTTCTTTTATGCTGTTAAATTCCATTTATCAGCTAGACTTCCTTTCACTGGAAAGTTGTGTAGACATTTTAGTGATTTGCGTTGGGTATTGTTTGCTTTCTGTAACTATTCTGTTGAATAGAGACACTAACAATAATGTTTGATGAATTTTGAGCATATTATTGAAGAGTATTTGCAAAAAGCAAATTCTAAATGATTCATATCAAGCTTTTGATATGAAGAATCAAGCTTTTGAAATAGAAACATATTATGTGCCTACTGACCTAATCGAACAGCTTGAATTTTGAATACTGAATTTGTATATAGAGCTTTTGCAAATAAACTGCAGATTTAGAATTGTTCAGTAAATATGTTTAATTACATTTACACTCAGAAAATTCACAGCTTGCTTTGAGATAATTCGTACACAAGAAAAGAGTCTACAATTGTGTCATTTCTGTGAACTGTTCACCTTAACTGCTTGGTGAACTTAATAAATCATCTTCTTTTCAGTTAAGCAACTTCACATTAAAAAAGAAAAAAAAAAGTGAGAAGTCTGTTCATGCTAACCAAGTATTGTCTTGTTTCCTTTTTTTACTGTCTGAAATATAAATCTGCAGATTAGTATGTTCCTATTTGCACTTCGTTGAAAGTGATTTTTTTGATATTTGATATCACATAAAATCATATGAAATTATGCCATGACAATTATGTGCTTGTCTCAGATTTGTAGTTTTACATCCATATTATTTCTTGTCAACTGTTCTTCATATTTTCTTCTGTAGCTCTTTGACATCACAAACATCATCATCCTGAATCTCTTCAAAGGCCATTAGCAGTTGGTAAAAACTGGGAAATTTTATTAGAAATTATGATATTATGTATTCAATATCATAATATGTTAATATGGTTATTTGCACCTCAGATTAGACTGAAAAGCATAATATTGACTTTTTATCAATGCAAATAAAAATTATGGGAATTGGAAATTTCTAGACATCTGATCTTAGCTATAGCATAATAAATAACATTTCACTATGGAATTCAGTTTTGATTCAGATCATTTTATTGTATTCAGCTGTAGCCACTAAGTTTCTTAGTTTCTTCTAAGAGTTACAATTTAGGTTTTTTTCATGCCTATAGGAGATATATATTTTAGTTATAGTTTTAGGTGTACTCTTTCAGTCTTTTATGGCCCACCCAGGCTACTTTACCTCAATTATACCCAGGTCAGTCAGGGATGGAATAGATAAGATTTAAGCCATCAGACCACAGACAGAACTTTGTCTTAAACTGAGTGAAAGGCAGCTCCTTTGGGACACAGTGGTTATTAAAAAGAATACACACTAATATTGAAACAATTCAATCTGAAAATAAAAATGAAATTATGTGCATTTTTTTCCAGTGGAAAGTTGATAAATATTGACAATGTTTACAATTCTTCATTTTCTGTCCATTCTCCTCAAAGATCAGCCAGCGGAACTTTTCCAGACAGTTCTTGCCATTTCTGTTATGCCCATTTATGTAAATGAGAATGGAAATAGGAGATGAGTTTATTTTTTCCCTCTTGAAAATGAGAAAATTAGATTTTTTTCTAGACGAAGACCCACAAATAGAGAAAACATTTAATAATAATAATAATAATAATAATAATAATAATAATAATCTCTACTAGGTGTTCTAAGGGATTAGAAAAAGTTATCCAGATGCTTCAAAGTAGTCTTATTCCCAAGAGTGTAGGGTTGATTAAAAAGGCAAGGGCAAGGCCAGTTTCAGAACGTGCAGTATTTGACTATGACTTTTATTAGAGAGAAGAGGTATATTTATTTCCAGCAAAAAAAGACTTAGCATGATCTTTATTTATGCTTTATTAAAAAAAAAAATGCATTTCTAAAGACCACATTCTCTTTCCTCAGGTTTTGATGTCTCAAACATCATCTCACAGTCATCACTCATTTCTGCCATTTCTTATATCACCTATGTCTTTTATCAGTATTTCATCAGAAACTTCCTGGGTAGGTACAGATAAGTTTCCATGTTTTTTTTCTTGCATGTTTGTTTTCTGTCACAACTGTTATGTTTGTCCCCAGATTTGTTCCATTCTGTACTGGAAGACTGTGAGAGAATATTCCTCATCTGTCATTTTTCCTGCTCTACTTTTAATGTTCCACTGGAAGAGTATTTACATAACAACATTCATCATCCTTGAAATGCATCAATCTTTACGTCTGTCTGCACTCCATGCCAGCCTAGCAGTCATGACTTAACACAGTGTTTGTCTTAGTGGGTAGTGCCAGCTTAGAGTCAGGTTCTCCTCTTATTCTGCTGTTTATATCATTCGCTGTCAACATTCCGTTCTACTTGATATTGATCTGGAATCAAGGATAAATTAGGCGGACTGTTATCGTATTGCACAGCAAGACTTCTCAAATTCTAAAAAAAAAATATTATTCACAGGTCTTGTTTAGCTACAACTACTTAAGTTGTATCATCTAATCTATCCATCCATCCATCCATCCATCTATCTATCTATCTATCTATCTATCTATCTATCTATCTATCTATTTATCTATCTATACATATAAACTTTCTAAACCCTTCATATTTATTAAACTTGCACAAAAGTTCTCCAGTCAGAGCAAACAAAGTAGAACACCTTGTGTGACAAGAATCCATGTGTCAGTAAACAGTAACTCCCACTTTGTGAAGAGGCTTATGACACATATCTTGGGGAAAAAAAAAAAAAAGATAAAATTACCATTTTGGTGTACAGAAATTTCCTTATGTGGTATAATAAAGAGGTCAATAAACATGACCTGCAATA